CTCCCCAGAGAGGCTTTGGGGTGGGGCGTTTGGGGGTGTCTTTTTGGAGGGTGCTTATTCTGGGGGGTGGGGGGTTTTTGGCAGAGGGAGCCCCCGTTTTTGGGGTGCGGCCCTCCCCCCCCCAGCGTGTTGGTGCCCCCCCGCAGAGCTGGAGGTGGGGAAGGACCAGGAGTTCACGGTGAAGTCCAAGGGCGCCGGGGGCCAGGGCAAGGTGGGGGCGAAGATCACGGGCCCCTCGCGCAAGGCCGTGCCCTGCACGGTGGAGCCGGGGCTGAGCCCCGAGAACAGCCTGGTGCGCTTCATCCCCCGCGAGGAGGGGCCCTACCAGGTGGAGGTCACCTACGACGGCGTCCCCGTCCCCGGCAGCCCCTTCCCCGTCGAGGCCGTGCCCCCCACCGACCCCTCCAAGGTGGGTCTGACCCCCTGCGACGAGGCCCTGTGGGTTTGGGGAGGCCTGGGGACCGTCCCTCTTGGCCCTGCGGGTCTGGCTTTGGGATGGGGACCCCCAGTATGGGGGTGGGTCTCCAGGGGCTGGGGTCCTCAGGAGCTGGGATGTCCCAGTAAGGGTGATCAGGGTCCCCAGTAAGGGGGTCCCTAAGGGCTGGGGGACCCCAGTGAGGGTGGCCAGGGGCCTTAGCAAGGGGGGTCCCTAGTAAGGGGGGGTCCCTAAGGGTTGGGTGCTCAGAGTGTGGGAGCGTCCCTGGTGATGGGGGACCCCAATAAGAGCGTGTCCCCGATGATGGGGGTCCCCAGGGACTGGGGGAGGCCCAGTAAGACCGTCTTCCCGATGACGGGGGTCCCTAGTAAGAGCAGCCCCCCGGGGCCATGGCTCCCCTCTAAGGGGATGTCCCTGGGGAGGAGGGTATCCCCAAGATCGGGGGGCTCCCTGGCGACGGCACCCCCCGCCCAACGTGGCGGCCCCTCTCCCCGCAGGTGCGCGCCTTCGGGCCGGGGCTGCAGGGCGGCAAGGTGGGCACCCCGGCCCCCTTCACCATCGACACCAAGGGGGCCGGCACGGGGGGCCTGGGGCTGACGGTGGAGGGCCCCTGCGAGGCCAAGATCGAGTGCCTGGACAACGGCGACGGCACCTGCTCCGTCTCCTACTTGCCCACCGAGCCCGGCGACTACAACATCAACATCCTCTTCGCCGGCGCCCACGTGCCCGGCTCGCCCTTCCGCGCCCCCGTCCGCGCCCCCTTCGACGCCTCCAAGGTGACGTGCTCGGGGCCGGGGCTGGAGGGGGCCACGGCCGGCCAGCCCGGCCACTTCCGCGTGGACTGCAGCCGGGCCGGCACGGCCGAGCTGACCATCGGCATCGCCTCGGAGGCGGGCGCCCGCGCCGAGGTGCGGGTGGAGGACAACGGCGACGGCACCTACACCATCGCCTACACCCCGCTCAGCCCCGGGGTCTACACCATCACCGTGGAGTACGGCGGGCAGCCCGTGCCGCACTTCCCCAGCAAGGTCCGGGTGGAGCCCGCCGTCGACACCGCCGGCGTCAAGGTCTATGGGCCCGGCGTGGAGGGCAAGGGTGAGCGCGGGGCCGCAGCGATGGGGACAGGGACGTGGGGGGGGGGCGCAGCTGCCTGACCCCCCCCATCCTACCGTTCCCTCCCCCAGGCGTGTTCAGGGAGGCAGTGACGGAGTTTGACGTGGACGCCCGGGCGCTGACCAAAGCCGGGGGCCCCCACGTGAAGACGCGGGTGTCCAACCCCTCGGGGAACGTCACCGAGACCTTCGTGGAGGACCGGGGTGACGGCACCTACCACGTGGAGTACACGCCCTACGAGGAGGGTGAGGTGTGGGGGGCGTGCGGGGATGGGGGGCAGCACCCGTGGCCTTGGGCTGACGTCCATGCCGCTCCCCCAGGCATGCACACAGTGGAGGTGAGCTACGCCGGCAGCCCGGTGCCGCACAGTCCCTTCCGCGTGCCCGTCACCGAGGGCTGCGACCCGGCACGCGTTCGCGTCCACGGCCCTGGCATCCAGAGCGGCACCACCAACCAGCCCAACAAGTTCACTGTGGAGACCCGGTGAGAGCCCAAACCCTCCAACCCACCCCCCTGGGCCCCCAGACCATTTCCTAGGATGCCCAGCAGTCGTCACGAGCACCCCTGTACCCCAAATCCCCCCTTGGTGCTGAAATCTCCCCTCCCCGGTCCTCTACACTCTCCTGTACCCCCAGTCTGCTCCCCAGCACCCCTGAAATCCATCGTGGGTGCCCCAAGTCTGCCCGCAGGTGCCTTACACACGCTTTCCCAGCCCGAATCCTTCTCCCAGTGTCCCCTGAAACAGCCCCGTACCCCAAATCCTTTCCCTGGCGTCCCCTGAAACAGCCCTGTACCCCGGATCTCTTCATACTCCGAGTCCTCCTCTTCCTAGCCCCCCCAAAACATCTTTGTATCCTAAATGCACCTCGCAGAGCCCCTAAGCTTCCCCCCCCCGGTACCACCAAGTCCCTCCTGGGGTCAGGGGGGTTTGGGGGTGCCCCACCTGACCCCCGTGCTCCCCCTGCCCCCAGGGGTGCCGGCACGGGGGGCCTGGGCCTGGCGGTGGAGGGTCCCTCGGAGGCCAAGATGTCCTGCACCGACAACAAGGACGGGAGCTGCTCGGTGGAGTACATCCCCTACGAGCCGGGCACCTACAGCCTCAACGTCACCTACGGCGGCCACCAAGTCCCCGGTGAGTGCCTGGGGGTGGTCCCAGGGTGGGGGGAGACGCCTGTCTCGCACACGCCCCCTCCCCCACGCTCACGTGTCCCCCTGCCCCATCCAGGGAGCCCCTTCAAGGTGCCGGTGACGGATGTGGTGGACTCATCCAAGGTGAAGTGCGCGGGGCCAGGGCTGACGCCAGGCGTCGTGCGAGCCAACGTGCCCCAGACCTTCACCGTCGACACCAGCAAGGCCGGCGTCGCCCCCCTGGACGTTAAGGTTCAGGGCCCTAAAGGTCGGTGGGGCGCACGGGAGGTTTGGGGTGCCCCTGCTTTGGGGCTGGGGGGGCGTTTGGGGTACCCCTGATCCAGGGGAGACAGGGGTATCTGGTATAAAGAGCGCCCTATGGCTGCTGCGTGTTCTCGGGGGGGGCATGGCGGGTCCTGGTGCACCCCACGGGGTGCCCTGTGGGGCCTCAAGGGAGGTGTTAGGGTGCCCGGTGGGACGTTACGGGGAGTCTCGGAGCACTTTATGGGATGTTACAAGGTCTCGGGGTGCTTGCAGGGGGGTCTCGGGGCACCCCACGGAGCACTGTAGGCGCTTGGGGTGTCACGTAGGATGCCGTGGGGAGTCTTGGGGCACGCTGCGATGCCGCGGGGCGCCCCGTGGGGTGCTCCGGCGCGCCCTGACGCCCCCTGCCCGCCCCCAGGCGTAGTGGAGCCCGTGGACGTGGCGGACAACGGTGACGGGACGCAGCGCGTCAGCTATGTCCCCTCCCGCGAGGGGCCCTACAGCATCTCGGTGCGCTACGGTGACGAGGAGGTGCCCCGCAGGTGAGGCGGGGGACGTGGGGGGGCTGGGGGGATTTCAGGGGGGCTGGTCTGACACCCCCCCGCTCTGTCCCGCAGCCCCTTCAAGGTGAAGGCGCTGCCCACGCACGACGCCAGCAAGGTGAAGGCGAGCGGCCCCGGGCTGAACACGACGGGGGTCCCGGCCAGCCTGCCCGTGGAGTTCACCATCGACGCCAAGGACGCCGGCGAGGGGCTGCTGGCCGTCCAGATCACGGTGGGCACGGAGCGGGGGGCACGGGGAGGGGTCTGGCGGCGGGGGGGGAGGCCAGCCCAGGGACGTGTCCCCCCCCCAGGACCCCGAGGGCAAGCCCAAGAAGGCGACGATCCGGGACAACCAGGACGGCACCTACACGGTCTCTTACGTCCCCGACATGACGGGGCGCTACACCATCCTCATCAAGTACGGGGGGGACGAGATCCCCTACTCGCCCTACCGCATCCGCGCCGTGCCCGCCGGCGACGCCAGCAAGTGCACCGTCACCGGTAAGCGCTGCCGTGGGGGACGCGCGCGTATGATGGGGACACCCACCGCCCGCCCAGCCGCTTCCAGCCAAGTCACTGCGGGGTGGGGA